GAGAAGTGGGTTAGCTTCAGAAGTCCTTTCCCTTGTTCGCAACAGTTCTATCCTTTGCAGCCAAACGTAGTCACGGTGGTCAACGCCAGCTATCGAAAAGTATACCAATAAAGCGCAAAAATCGCACTTCTTTTACTTTTGTGATGCATGTTGTTGCTGTTGACAGAAGCTGAAAAATTTCTGTCCCTTTTTTCGTCAACTTTTCCTTCAGGATGTAATCAAAGTATTAACTTAACACTCAACTTAACCTCTCATACATACGGCAAAAACCAGCTGGGACAAAAATAGCCAGAAACTTTCCAAACTTTAGAATCTCTAAAACATGGTGAACAAATTAGAGAATTTTTTAAAATTATGGTTTTGAATCAAGTTCCTTATTATTCAAAAAGATAAAGAAAACGAAATGATTCTGAATAGCGTTAAACCAAAATTTCCCTACAAGTATGAGAAAAGGCATATTTTAGAGAAAAAACGACGTACCGGGTTGTCTAAAACAGCCAGTGAGATGAATCGCAGGAATAGCTCGCCGGCAGATGACACGGACATGTACGAAAAGTCGGTGTTTTGAATAACGCTTATTGCCAGCTTCAGCTCATTGTTTAATTCGGTCAAAGTGGTGGCTAAAAATCGCAGCTTAAATTTTAAAAAAACCGACAAATTTCAATAAATAAATCAGTTTAAAAAAAACTTCTAGTCCAATGAAAATCATGAATGATGAAAATTCTTGCTGTTGCTGCTTTCCGATGACATAATTGTGAATAGCAATATCGTTAATCCAATATTCTCGATAACGGGGAAGGCATAATTTATCTGATCAAGCGAGTGATGTTATCATTCATTTAAGTGATGCAATCAACCTATCTTTTTCAGGTACTCTACGCCAATAATATTCTAAGCCAGTTTAATCATCTTCGGAAGTCTACAAAAGCATTATATCGTCTCAACACGTGCTATTTCGCTGACCTGAAACATTAGACTGCTCAAAAAACAACCAATTAACGTATGTCGGAGATGTTATTCGAATGCTCAATCGTTGAGAAATCAGCTGTATTCTCAAAGCGATTTCTGCAGAAATA